TTAAAGCACCTGCTTAGGCAGATGCAGGGACCAGGGTTTAATTCCCGGTGTGCCGTGCCTGCCCCACCACCTGGGGCACCCTGAGAAGGTGGTTGAGACTGGGAGTTGTGGCACAAGCCTGAAATCCCAGCATTTGGGAGGCTGAAAACAGGAGAATCACTACAAGTCCAATCTATGTAGTGAGACCCTTTAGACCCTGTACTAAATACATTTTTAAAAATGAAAAAGAAAAAGAAAAGAAGAGGTCAGAATATCCTTCTTGTGCCTGATGGTTCTCAAATGCCTTTAGCTTAAAATAATTCTTCTGCCAAAGTGACAGGCTTTGGGGTGGCATATCCTACCACCTTTCATATACATAAAATTTCTAGGGCTGGGGAGATAGCTCAGCGGTCTAAGTGCCTGCCAGGAAAGCACAAGGTCCTGAGTTCAATCCCTCGTACTGCATGTGGTGCCTGCCCCAGAAACACAGGCATACCATGCCAGCCACCAAAACTGGGCCTGGTGGTGCATGCCTATAATCCCAGCGCTGGGTTGGCTGAGACAGGAGGATCACTATGAGTCCGAACTGCATAAGGAGACCATATATTAACAACAAAAAAATAAAAATAAATTTTTTAAAATGTTCTAGTTTCAGCCATTTCTAAGTTATATTTCTGTGGTATTCACACTGTTGTGCAACCACCACTACTTCCATCTCTAGAACATTTTCTTCTTTCCAAACTGTATCCATGAAAGGATAATTCTTCATCCTTCCCTCCTCCAACTCCCAGCATCCGTCACCCTGCTTTGTGCCTCTAGGACTACTTTGGTACGCTATGTAAATGGAATCATACCATGCTTGTACTATGGTATGCAGCTCAAGCTATGGTGCGCAAATCCACTTTTGCATCCACTTTACTCCACTGAGCATAGTCTTCAACCTCTTGTGTATGTTGTAGGATGCCTCATAATTTCTTCCTTTTTTGAAGTTTGAATAATGGTAATTCAGGGATGTGTGTGTTGTGGTGCTTCGGATCAAGTCTAGGACCTTGCACATGATACGAAGATGCTCTACCACTAACCACAATTCCAAATCTTTGTGTTTAATATGTAGAAAATATACACTATGAAGATTTATATCAGGATGACTCATATATTTGTGCTAGGTACCTTATCTATATTGACTTGAGGTCTCATGCAACCTTAAGAAATATATTGATGGATTTTAACCTCCCAGGCTCAGAGTGGTTAAATAATTTGCTATTATATTATCATGTGCCTACTGAATGGTAGATTGAGGCTAGAACTCAGTTCAGTGTTTATGCACTTTGATTTCCTGTCGGTTTCATAGTTTGATTACCTTGTGACAGACTTGGCTGGTGGTCTCATCTATTCATTCTTTTCTTAGAGAACCAAAATTTTGTTCAGAGAGAAAAGTTATGTGCTCAGAGGTGGGTCTTTCCCCTCTCCCTTCTCCCCTTTCTCTCTCTCCCTTCTCCCCTCTCCTCTTCTCTCTCCCCTTTCCCTTCTCTCTCACTGCCTCCAACTAATGCCTGGATACCAATCACAACAGTCTTTCCCCCAGAGCCAAGACAACTGTTCAGGATGCTGGGAAATGTTTTTCTGTCTGACAAACAGAAAAAAAGAAAAGGAAAATCCTCCTCTCTTGTAGTCAGGGTTTGCAAGGGGAACAGTACAGGACACATAATTTATAGAATTACTTTTGAAGGAATTATTTTATAATAGTAACCCAAAGAGTCATATAACCAAAAAGAGTGCAGGAAATCTATTCACTAAAGACCAAAGGATCCAGATGAGGGCCTGGATCCTGGACGAGCCCAGCTGAAGACCTGGAGCCCATCACAATGCCCCCCACAAGTCCAATTGGAGGCCAAGAGCGCACAACACTGTCTCATGCAAGCCTGTTTCAGAGATATGAGCTGGGAAGGCCCAAAGGTCAGTGGTTGAAGCTAGAAAGTCTGTGCAAGAAGGATGTGGATCTGTGCTACCAGACTGAGGGATCTGCACGGGAGCCAGGAAGCAATGTTCAAGGTAAGAGCCAGAGCTCCCTCCAAAGCTACCACAGCTATCCTTAGTGACAACAAATCCCAAGCTCCTCCAATGAGAACAGCTGAGTCCTAATCAGGAAAGCCAGAACAATAGGCTTCTCCCGGAGACTGAGCAGTGCACCTCTGAGACCAGAACTCCCCCAGAGTGAATCAGAGCCATTCTTATTGGCAACAAGGTCCTGAACTTCCCCTTCAATGAGAACAGCTGAGTTCATCAGGACAGCCGGCATGGCAAGCTCCTCCAGGAAAACCAACTCCCTACAACAATCCTCAGGTGGGCCTCTCATACTCGGCACCACACTGGCTCGGTTCAGCTGGGTGTTACAAATTGACCACCAGTTGGCAATCTACCACATCCTCCTTCTCATTCTGCTCATACTACTTAAATCATATTGCTGAGATACCATGGTACTTCCCAAGATCTAGAGTGATACTGGAATACAGTTGGCAGTAGCCTTGTTTGTTTTTGGTCTTTTTTTCTTTCTTTCTTGTTTTTTGTGCTGAGGACCGAACCCAGGGCTTCCTTGCTAGGCAAGGGTTCTACCACTGAACTAAATCCCCAGCCCCTGAGATACAATTGGCTAAACAGAAAAAAGACTTCAAGACAGAGGGGCTAACATCAGAGACTCTTGAGCCAGTCAGTCCAGATTCGAACACTGGATCTGCAACCAATTAGTACCATGACCTAAAGTAAGCCACTCAGTTTCTGTGTGCCTCACTAACTGTGAAGTGGTGCTAGTACCAGCAACCTGTAGTGGTTGTTCTGAGGATTAAATAAGTTGATACATTAAGAGTGGCTGGCGGGTAACATGCCAATTAGCTATTTTGGTTGTTGCTATTATTTTATTTAGTTATTTGTATTTTTAGGACAGGGTCTACAGGGTCTCGTAGTGACCTTCCTTTTTACAGCCTCCCAAGTGCTGGGATTACAGGTGCATGCCACCATGCCCAGTCTCAATTGCCGTCTCAGTGAGCTGTCTCAGAACAGGGCTGGCACACAGGCCTGGGGATTGAACTCCTGGCCCCTGTGTCTGCCTAAGTAGATACTTTAATCCGCTGAGCTATTTGGCTGGCCCGCTGTTATTATGGGAGCAAAACAAAATCTTTAGACACTCATCAGGTGGTAAACACACAGGACCTAGAACAGGACTGGCAATTTCTAGCAGCCTAGCTTGTTTTCCTTAGTGTGATAGCTTGTATTTAGATGTGCCCCCCTCCACAGGCCCAAGCGGTTATACATGTGGCTTTTTGGAGATGACTTGATCTAGGGTATATGGTAATGGAATGAAGCATGTGATGCTGGGATTAATGGTTCAACACTATGGCTAAGGATGCCTCACCCTGGCTGTGAGTGCTACCTGCCTTACAGAATAGAAAGAATAGAAAGGGGCGTGCTGTCTTGCTTGCTTCTTACTGCAGTTGCTGCCTTCTATCACCTTACATGCCATGAACTGTTTTTCCTATTTGTGATGCCCCTCTGCCATGCCACTCTGACAGCCAGTTATGGACTGAAACCTCTACTAACTGTGAGCCAAAATAAATCGTTTCCCTGTTAACTTTATTTTATTTTTTAATGTATTTGGTACAGGGTCTCACTATGCAGTTTGGACTCATAGTTATCCTCCTGTTTTCAGCCATCCCAGTGTGGGATTACAGGAGTGCACCACCATGCCCAGATTCTGTCACAGGCTCAGTGTGCCTGAGGGTGGGGCCAGCTTGGCATGCAGTACCAGGGATTGAACCCCAGTCCCTGCGCTTGCCTAAGCAGGCACTTAGTCTGCTGAGCTATCTCGCCACCCCACCCTTTAACTCTAGGTGTTGTTGAGTATTTTATCCCAGCAAGAGAAGTAATTAAGACACATATTACTCAGGTTGCATTTTTACCTTTTGGGACATTGCTACATTTGGTTTCTCTTATGCTATTCTTCATATTATTCTAAAATATAAATCAGAATGTAGTCCTCCAATGGGTCTCTGTTACCATTAGGATATGGTCCAAATGAACAGATGTGGTCTTCCATCATCTATCTATTCCTTGCCTTCCTCTCCTGATGGCCCGTCATTCCGTTCATGGCCAATGACCTCCTTTACTCAACAAATATTTACAAGTAACTAAATAGGAACTGTAAAACTGAAAAGTCAACAGGATAGAAAAGTGGTTTCTGAAAAAAAATAGAAAAGAAAAATTGTTTCTGTCTTCAGAGAGCTTACATAAAGGATTTAATTTTTGATACTCATAAAAGCAAAGAAAAGTACTATATGCAATGAAATCAGATAATAGTGAAATCTACCAGAGGACATGATCTCTGCTATACTCATTGCGGGCTATTTTCCATCCACCTTGCTCCATCTCTCTCTCTCTCTCTCTCTCTCTCTCTCTCTCTCTCTCTCTCTTACACACACACACACACACACACACACAGCCTTCCTTACCATTCATCTGCATTGTCAGACTCCTATGTATGTATTAATCTCATAGAACTTAACTAGCAACTGTTTTGCTTGGGCGTTTTCCCCAATACACCAGTTCTTCTATTAGCCTTTTATCGCTATACCCAAAAGGATT